TTGCACTAAGAAAAATTCTTCGGTCATTTTAATACATTACAGGTACAGTAGAGAGCGCCCTCTAGCGGCTACAGTAAAACTATGCCCATGGTTCGTTTTGTCGTACCAAAAAACCCTTGTATACCAATTTTCACTGTTATAAGTACATCAAATATTGTTCGAAATATTTAAAAAAGACTATTTTAGAAAGTAAATTTAAACACCCTGTATTTCGGAAGCCACGCATTTTTCGACCCATGTTTATATAGACTTTATGCATTAATTTTAAAAGTTCTATCGAATCTTAAAGTTATGCAACAATAAGCTGAAACACCCTGTATAATTCCTGCTGATGCATTGTATGCCTACAATGTAACGATGCGATGTCCGGCTAGAATTAATAGTAGGTACGAACACATGTATAGTTTGCTGCGTTAGCCGGTCATGGTAAATTTAATCCGTTTAAAAAAGGTATTAATAAAAAGTGGACTCACTGTGATGGTGATTAGTGGGCGCAACCATATCAGAAAATATTATAATTGCGGGTCGGCAGCCCGGAGAAGTGGCCGCATTGGGCGGGCATCGGGCAGGCGTCGGTCGTATTTTTGTCGATTTATACCGTTTTCGAGGCCGATTAGCGTCAATGAACGGTAAAGGCAATAAAAGGACTCATATCAAATCATCTGCCAGTGGCGTTGGTCAGCAGGCCTGCATGGTTATTACGTACAAAACCTGATTGATTAAATCATAATTAAGGATCTCAAAATAAAATTTAAGTTGCACCCCACCCTTTTTACTCTGAATTAAATTATTGTTAATAACTTACATTTTATTATAATTTTATTTTGAGAGCATTAATTATGATTGATTGTTCGACCATCTGCCACTGTAATATAAATAAACTCTTTGTAATTAAACATTATTTTCTACTTTCTAGTCCGGTTAGCGTGTTTTTTTAGTTACTATTATTTATTTTTCATTTTTAGTTCGATTTATTAATTAGATTTTTGTGGACATGTGGTATTGACATGTCTTACGAATCATTTCGTAATCTTATCATTTCATTTAAAGCTTCACTGTTGCATGGGGTTTTTCCTGTTAACTTAGAGCAATCAGTATCTTCACTCCGAATACCGTCTAAAAATCTTACACGACTAAGTGCTGCATAAGCTTGTCCAGCAGGAAACAGTCGCGAGCCTATAGTGTATTTACACCCACGATATAATGGATGCGTGATTGCCAAAAGCAAGGACGGCGTACAGGGCCGCATTCAGGGCTACCTCCGAATGATGGACTACCACCAAGGTGTCGTAAAACAAAGAAGACTGTATTTAACAGAAACTTAACAAATTACTCAAATACACTTAACAACAACAACAGCAACAACCAAGCAAGGTGAATACGAAAACGCATTATTCCGCCAGGCGGCCGCTTGAAGTTTAATGGCGAATTGACCAATAAGAGGCGTTGTCCCCACCTGTGACCGAGAGATTATGCGCTAACTGTTATTATTTACATCTCATCTTGAATTTGGATTCAGTTTAGATCATTGATTCCCAAAGTGGTCTATATCGACCCCTAGGGGTCTATGCCACCCTGCAAGGGGTCTACGTCAGCGAAAAAAAATTTGGGGGTCCATGAAATGAATATGGGGGTCCACGATAGTGAATCTCAACAGATACACTGATAGTACCTATTTACTTACATCATACTATCTTATAATATCAAAACATATACATTATTTATAAAAGTACCTATGAGGTAAAAAATTTATTATATATGTTTATAAAATTGTGTAAGTTGTAGGATGTTGGTATTCGCTTTGTGGTCGCAATACATTTTGTACTTGTAAAAACCTAAGAGTCGCAGTCTCAGAGCTTCGCTACCTTGCACTGACTTGTTCAATTCGTCACTCTATAAATACGAATGTGGGACAAATACGTTTATTCGTTTCCTGAATCTTGAAAAGCAAAGCGCTAAGAAAATATTTTAAAAAATATAAACAGATAATATATCACACAAATTATAGCGGGTCAGTGATATTTTGTTTGAGAGTGCTGGAGAAAAGTAAGTTCATTATTTTTTATTAAATTTTAGTTTTGTACTCGTAGTTAGCAAAGATAGATAAATTACGCCAATCATGACTTTAGTTATTAGTAGTTAAATATTCAGTCATGCAAAATTACACGATTACTCCTCAATAGTTTTAGCAATCGGTAATATAATTACAGTGCAATCTCCGTAATTCGAGCTAATTGTTGCAAGAAGATGTTAGAATTATGGAATGTTTTCGGAAAAATCAAAAAATATTTTTAATATACAGCTGCTGGATTTTCTGTCTTATTTAAATAATTTAATTTTGCCCACAGATGACTGATGTCATGTCCGAATCTAAAAAGAAATGTAGACAGTACAGTGTTGATTATTTGAAATTTGGCTTCATTCCATCATTGCCGGACAAACAATCACCTATGTGCCTTTTATGCAACAAAGTTGCTGCTATGAAACCATCTAAACTGCAAGATCATCTGAGAAGATGCCACCCTGATAAAACAGAGAAAGATTTGAAATACTTTCAAACACTCAAAGATAAATTTCAGAAGAGATCTACACTGGACAGAATGTTCGCTTCGACGTCACAAAGAAATGATGATGGTTTGCGGGCGTCTTACAATATCTCGTTACTTATAGCAAAATCCGGAAAACCGCATACTATCGGAGAGAAGTTAATTTTGCCAGCTATTGAAGAGGTTTTAAAAACTGTTTTACACAAACCTGCATCTGATATCATTAAAAGAATTCCCTTAAGCTACAATACTGTTGAATGACGTATTGATGAAATGAGTTCTGATATTGAAAGCTTCTTATGTAATTATTTGCAAACGATCCATTTCTCTATACAACTGGACGAGTCAACTTTACCTGATAATGCATCATTATTATTGGCATATGTTCGTTTTATTATGAATCAAGAAATCTACGAAGAACTGCTCTTCGCAAGAACTTTGATGACCGACACTAAAGGTGAATCAATATTTCATGTTTTGAAGGATTACTTCATTGAAAAAGCAATTCCTTTATCAAATATAATATCAGTAGCTACAGATGGAGCACCTGCCATGGTTGGACGTTATCGTGGATTTATAAGCAATTTAAAACAAAATGTGTCAGGGGTGTTAGCAATACATTGCATGGGCAGTAGATTCGTTTGCCCCATACAAAAGTCCAGGTCTGGACGGCGTATTTCCGGCCATGTTACAGCAGGGACGGATTTCGGTTGTTCCTTACCTGTTGAATGTGTTTCAAGCATGTGTGGCCACGGGCTTCACACCTAGAAGCTGGCGGCAGGCTAAAGTGGTATTCATTCCTAAACCGGGCAGAGATAGATATACTGGCCCGAAGGATTTTCGACCGATTACTCTTTCATCTTTTGTGCTTAAGACCCTGGAAAGGATAGTTGATAGATAGCTAAGGGATGGCCCGCTGGAAAGGTGTGTCATTCATGCAAATCAGTTTGCATACCAAGCTGGAAAATCGACTGATCTGGCCTTACACAATCTGGTCGGGAGGCTGGAGAAGACTCTAGATCAGCGAGAAGTGGCACTCGTAGCCTTCCTGGACATTGAAGGTGCATTTAATTGCACCACAACCGACTCTATCAGACAGGCCTTGGTTAGACATGGGGTTGGATCAATCCTAATAGATTGGGTCCTCTCTACTCTGGAGGGTCGGGTAACAACAGCTATGCTGAATAACGTAAGCTGCAGCGTGAACGTAGCTAGAGGCTGCCCTCAGGGAGGAGTTCTGTCACCCCTACTGTGGTGTATCGTGGTGAACGAACTCCTCGTTAGGCTCAACAGTATGGGTGTCTATGCGCAAGCCTATGCTGATGACGTAAGCATAGTGGTTAGGGGGCGTTTCTGCAGAACAGTCTCGGAAATTATGCAGGGCGCTCTGCGCTCCGTGGAATCGTGGTGTAGGGAAGTCGATCTTTCTGTTAATGCTGAAAAGACCGAGCTGATCCTATTCACTAGGAGAAGAAGGCTTGACGGACTGGTCATGCCGACCTTCTGTGGGACTAGATTAGTTTTGTCCCAGTCAGTGAAATATCTGGGAATTATCCTGGACTGCAAACTGAACTGGAGAGAGCATGTGGAACACAAGGTTAGCAAGGCTCGCAATTCGATGTGGGCTTGTAGACGTGTTGTCGGTGTAAGGTGGGGGCTTAAACCCAAAGTGGTATACTGGCTCTACACGACGATAGTACGTCCATCTCTCTTGTACGGCTCCCTGGTCTGGTGGCCTTGCATTAGAACTGAGTCAACTAAGGCCAAACTCAATAAAATTCAGCGTTTGGCCTGTATTAGCATTACAAGCGCAGTGCGAACAACGCCATTGAGTGCAATGGAAGCTCTGTTGGATCTCCCACCGTTGGATCTGGTGATCCGCGGTGAAGCGAGAGTAGTCGCTCATCGACTGTGGAGTCAGGGCAGCTGGGCTTTCTTGAATCCGGGGCATACTGCCATCTTAGTCGAATTAGAAAGGGAGGACCCCGTCCTTCTAAGCAGGGGTGATCGTATTACCCCTAAATATCGCTTCAACCGCAAGTTTATTGTGGAGTACCCAACGAGGGAGGAGTGGGACGCCGGTAGCCGAGGACTCTCCGAATTGAGCGGGCAGGTCTGGTACACGGACGGCTCGGTCACCGAAGAGGGCTCAGGTGCTGGGTCTCTGGACCTAGAACTAGGCTATCTCTGCCTCTCGGTGAATACACCACCATTTTCCAGGCGGAAATCTTTGCGATTCTGGCTTGTGTATCTCACATTCCGGAGGAGGGTGGGCCTAGGAGAAGAATAACAACCTTATCCGACAGCCAGGCTGCAATGAAAGCACTAAGTGCCTGTAAGATTACTTCGAGTCTTGTATTGCAATGCAGGGAGGCTCTGGATTGCCTCGCAGCTAGGCATCCGGTATCGTTAATATGGATACCGGGGCACGCTGGGATAAGGGGCAATGAGACGGCGGAGATTCTGGCGAAAACAGGATCAGCCAGCAAGCTCGTTGGTCCTGAGCCAGCTCTAGGAGTAACCGCGCACAAAGCTAGGAGGAAAATGGAGACGTGGGTTGCAAGACAACACTCTCAGAAATGGAGAAGTATCTCTAGACATCTCCGCCAGGCACGAGAGCTCATTGAAGGGCCCAGTGCTAAGGACGGACGCTTCTGCCTATCTCTGGGTAGAGCCAACCTAAGGTTGCTGGTGGGACTGTTGTCTGGCCATAACACGTTAAGACGGCACCTGCACGAGATGGGGGTGGCTGAGGATCCCTTGTGCGAACGCTGCGGAGTAGAAGAAGAGACCTCGGCGCACGTTTTGTGTCGCTGTGAAGCTCTGAGCTACTATAGGCAGACTATACTGGGGTCCATTACTTTGGACCCTCAGGACGTAAAGGAGCTTGGACTCAAGGCGATTCTCAACTTCGCTAAAAGGGCGAGGCTTGTGATTTAAGTATTGTAGAGGTGCATAAGGGCCCGCTTAAGCGGCCTATGCAATGGCTCCTTATGGTGGCCGGGATGCCTCTAAAATTTTTTTAAGATTCAATACATTGCGTCATCCATCGACAACATTTAGTTGCTAAAAATTTGAGTGTTAGATTGCATGAATCACTTCATTTAGTCATTGATGCAGTAAACCGAATCCGAAGCAACGCGTTGAATACGCGGTTATTTGCGCAGTTGTGTGAAGAAAATGACGAACACTTTCATCAATTACTCCTTCACACTGAAGTACGCTGGCTGTCGAAAGGTTTATGTTTGACAAGATTTTTTGCACTTTTTGAGACTATTCTAGAATTTCTGGATACTAAAGATGAAATTTTAAAAGAAAATTTAATGAAGAGGAAAACAGCCATCGCCTATTTAACAGATTTGTTTACAAAATTTAATATGGTTAATTTGCAATTACAAGGCGACAGTTTAAATTTGATTAAAACAAAGTCCATCTTATTAGCGTTTCTTGCCTGAGTTAAACTAATGAAGCAAAATATTGGACGGGGCGAATTTTCTCAGTTCCCCAATTTGTCACAGAAAAGCTGCCAGGAAGACGACGTTTCAACTTACGTTCAACATTTAAATGCCCTCTATTCAGATTTTGAATCTAGGTTTGAGGATATTTTGACTATGGTAATACCACCGTGGATAACTAATCCATATGGTGACATAGAAGAAACGAATGTCATAATACAAGAGGAACTGACAAATGAAGAACTTAAGGTTCAGTTTAAAAACAGATATCAGCAATTCTGGCTGCAAAACAACATACCCGTTACTTATCCCGTATTGAATATAGCGAGGAAATTTTTAATTTCCTTTCCATCATCATACCAAGTGGAAAGGGGGTTCAGCGCTGTTACCAATCTCCTAACGAAAAAAAGAAACAGAATGGACATCATTAGCCGAGGAGATTTAAGATTAACCCTTACAAAATTGACGCCAAATGTTGATAATTTATTATTAAAGCATCAGGTTCATCCTTCTCACTAAAAATATTGACTTATTGCTTATGTTATTTTATTTATAGTTTATTTTATGTTTATTGGTGTCTGACCAATTAATGCCCGCATTGGGAATAAGTGCCCGCATTGATTTTTTTAAAGAACCCCCCTTTATAGAAAATATATTTTTTTAAATTATTCTGAAAATTCAAGGATAGGTACACACTAAAATTCGTTAATTTTTAGCCTATTTTTAGATAACTTAAACGTATAAGAAGCGGAATTTAATCAAACTAACAGTGAAATTATTGTAGAACATACGTTTATGTTATAATTAATAAACGAACTCGCTTATTGTACTATTTTAAGTAAAATACTTTTTTTTATTATTTTTCACTTTTTTTATTTTATCCCTCTTATTTTTTTTTCAATGCGGGCACTTATCCCCAATGCGGGCACTTATTGGTCAGACACCTGTTTATTTAATGTTACGTATATTTTACATAACAGATACAAAATTTTATTTTGAGTAGTTTTAATTTAAATTCAATTAATAAATGTATAAATTAACATGTGTTTTTACTTTAAGTTTTTAACACTAAACTTCACTACAGTTAGAAATTTGCAGGAAATCAATATCAGGTAAGTAGTGTGTCTACCCAACATGGAAAAACATGGCAAGGGGTCTACGACACAAAAAAGTTTGGGGAACTCTGGTTTAGATAAATGAATGCATGATCGACTGTACAGCCTTGCATCCTGTGGACGGTCGAAGTCCAACTCAGGATTAATGGCGACATTCGCAATGAACAATGTGTGATAGCACTACTTTGAAAAAGTATCTCCCGCCGTTGTGCTGTGCCGAGTGGCCAAATCAACAAAGAGTAAGTCCTAAACTGCACGCATGCGCAGATCGCGCGCTAGCTCTATCTCTCTTACTCCCTTACAGAGGATCTATAAAAGAATGTATCAATCCCGGCGGTCCTAATAAGGATAATGGAAAAATGTTATCAAATTATTGTATTGTCATCGGCCCTTGATACGTGTGTGAAGTTTCAAATTTATCAAACTTCTGGAAATTGGTGAAAATTATGCTCAAAGATTCCATTGCATACACACATATAGGCCAAGCTTATAAAAGCGTGTTAATGAAAGCGTGTTAAAAACCGACAAAATGTCAACTTGCCGACTAGATAGTTCCTAGTTTGAAAAATCGTTCATACGTCTGTGGAGAAATGACTCAACCACACGCTCAATGACCATCTGTCAGTTTCCCAGCATGCTTTTTGGTTGCAGAATGCCGAGATGGTCTGTAGAGTATATCTCGGAGAGGATG